ACATCAGCAGGAAACCGAGCCAGGTCTCCCTGCTGTACAATCAGCGTGACTCCAGGGGCTATGTCCTTCTGTAAGAGGCACTTCTGCTCTTTAAGGCTGCCTTTGTCCTTCTCTGCTCCCTCCTGGAGCTCAATGATGCATCCATACAGGCGTTTGATCTCGCTTTTGTAATAGGATGCTTTGTCCTGGAAGAACTGCCTAGCACCAGGCTTATCAATCTGGAACCTTTTAATGCAGACTGAATCCCGGATTTGCCTGACCATGTCCATGCACTCTAGAACTTTACTCTTGTAGCCAGTTAGTAAAATGCCTTTTGGTTCGTCTTCCAGCTTAAAACTTGCCTGCACATTGGCCTTCCTTATCTTTGGCCAGAACAGATTCTTATCTGCCCTTAAATACTCCATAATCAACAATGGTTCTATTTCTACCAGCCTTTCAATTTTCATGGTGTTCTCCAAGAACTCAAAAATTTGGCCATGGATTTCATTTACTTCTTTCACACAGCCTGCAATGATGACCTCCGCCGGAGTTCCTGAAGTCAATTCATTTTTTATCATAATGCTTGCAGTGGAGGAGTGTCTTTTTTGCAAAGGGTGAATTTTCCTTTTCCACGCATTGCCTCTGAATACTTCCTTGTCTTCAACTTCAATGATTTTATAACTCAAAGCATCAAGCATTTTCTTCTCTGCTTCTGCCAGGGCTCTGAAAGAACAGGCCATCAAAAGAAGAGCTGTACCATTCAGCTCATACGTGGCAAGAATCTTCTGTGCTTCAAAAAGAGTCTTGCAGAATTCCTGACTGTCTACTTGCTGCAGAAACATGAAGACTTCAGAAGGAATCGGGACGTCTTTCTGAGCCATGGAATACACCTTTTCCTGGATGTCACACTTTACTTTATACACATCTGCACGGAATCCCTTAAAGCACAGGTGCTGAGTGGCAGCATCGTAATGAATCTCCACCTCTGGGTTCTCTTTCCTTAGATCATCCAGGGAACCACTGTGTTCCAAAAGAAAGTGTTTCCCCGGAGAAATGGCCACGTTCTCCTCCAGACTCT